AAAAAAAAAAAAAAAAAAATTTTCCTTTTGTTCTTGTTCACTCACACTGATGAATCTGATTGTTTTCTCTGAGTTGCTTTCCTCATGTTATTAGGGTAACCTGATAACAGACATGTTAGTTATGTGGTTTATAACAGTGATCTCCTAAATGATGTGCCTCCATCATTGATACTGAGAATGATCAGAAAATATTACAACTCTTATTTATTGATGTTAACTTTTTTATCTACAGAGAAATGATAATACATATTAATACTTAATATTCATTTTGCCAATAGTATATATTTGGTGGGTAAATACATTTTGGATATGCAGAATTTTCACTGATAGTTTGTATCAGGATCAAAGCAGTTTGAAGAACATTAATCTTAAAGATAAGACTTTGGCATCTCATTTCTCTAAAAGATAAGTCATGTATGTCCACATCTCAGGCAATTTTTTTCACTTTTAATAAGTTTTGTTAGTGATAATAAAATTCCTTTAACAGAAAACTCTTGATTGCTATAGGCCTGTGCTCTGTATTCAGTAGTCATTAGCCACATGTGGCTATTTAAGTTAATTCAAATTAAATAAAATTAAATATTCAGCTCCTCATTTGTACTAGTCAGATTTCAAGGACTAAATAGCCACATGGGCAGGTGGCTACCATATTGGACAATGTGGTGGATACACCGCAATTCCATCATCTCAAAAAGTGTTATTGGTTAGTGCGGATACAGACTTTTCTTGCTCAGCAATGGTAGTCTGTACATGTACTATCTTCATACATTAGGTAGCATCTGTAAAACAGGCCAAAAGAAAATAGACTGTCTCTAAAAGTGTCCCAAATTTTTGTCTTGTAAATTACCTTATCCTCGTTCTTGGAGCCTCTAGCCTTAATAAGGACGCAATATAAATGTATATCAAGAGAAAGCCTATCATTTTCTGGAGGAATTATTCCCCTTTTTATTTCAATCCATGTTTGCTTTATCTTGGGCTCCTGAAAACTGATACTTTGCATTCAATAGCAACATTATGTCCAGGATTAATGATAATACATCTTCTCATACAACAAAACTTGAGGTTACAGAATATCTTAACTTGTGCCAGGAACTGTTGTTATCATTATGTCCAATAGTTGGTTGGTAAGGTTTCACCATATCAGAATACACTTTTTTTTAACTGTCTGGACTTTTGCTGATTACATTGTCCAGAATGTGGAGTATCACATTTGAGAAGAGGATTGGATCCTAGCCATAATATAAATGCAAGGGTAATTACATCCATGCTGAGAAAGATTCAGGAATGTTAGTAAGTTCATTTGAGTGAGTCGTTTGGGCCAAACTTGTTAGAGAATATTCCAGGAAGACATTTACTATAAATGGTAAATTAGATGTTCTTGTCTGATTAATTACATTTGAACTCTGTGAATCACTGAATTACTCATGCTGCTTATTTGTATTATTAGATGAACTTTTAAGTTATATAAGTATTACATGTCTTTAATGGTGATCAATATTTTATCAATTCCTCTGTCTTTATACCAAGTCTAAGTCATAAACTCAGTATGAATTTGCCAAGAGATTGGCAAACTATTTGTATATATGCTTTCTTTCAAATAATCAGGACTTCCAGTGGCCACAATCATTGACTCTAAAGAAAATATGGGAGTAGGTAGATTTAATTTGCTAACAGTTTCGCAATTGGTTTTGATAAACTTGAACGTCCCTATCATCACCCCTTGTAGGAAGTCACTGGTGTAATGTATGATATTAACATCTGCACCGATTACTCTTATAGGTGGAACAATCCAAAGTTTTAATCAAAGAAGGTGGTGTTCAGTTGCTGCTCACAATAGTTGATACGCCAGGATTTGGAGATGCAGTGGATAATAGTAATTGGTAAGAAGGGTTTATCCTCACGCGTTCCAGTGCATTTGAGGTACTGAGGTGGTTAAACTTTTTCTTCTTGACATTTTAAAACTTCTCATCTTAGCAACACCAAACTTCAAGTAAGATGACTTGTGTTTGTATACCAACTTTGCCATTTATTTGACAAAGTTGTTTAACTTCTTTGAACCCATTTACTTTTCTATAAAATGGAGATAATATCTATCATAAAATTTTTAAAGACATATTCTAAAATAACATAGCTAGATAGAATTCTCATTTATTATAAGATATTCACTTTAATTTTAAAGCTGTTCACTTTAATTTTATCCATTTGTATAATGGATAAATTAATTAATTTTAATTAAAACTGTTCACTTTAATTTTATCCATTTGTATAAATTCTGTCTCAATCCTAATTTAAACCTGATTTTTCGACTTTCAGTTTTTCTGTCAGTCCTAAGTAAACAACTATGAAATTTTAGTCTGAAGTAATTAAATATTTTCTAAATAATACTTTTATTTTTGTTTGAATTCACATTGTTTTTGAGGTAATTTTCTGTCAACTCTTAGTACTCCGAAGTTCATCATGAAGTTTTTATTTAAAGTAATCTCTCATTTGAAATTTAAAATGGAATATAATCATTTTCATATTATGAAGTGTTAGTATACTTATCAGTGGAAATAATACGCTAATAATTTAGCTGTGTTTTGACAATAATTTTTCTTTCATTTGGAAATTTTTGAAATAATGACTAAAGATTTATTTAACATAATTTATATTTTTGAATCTTTAGAATAATTTGACATATCTTCCACTGGTAATTCGTTTTGCCTATTTGAAGATATTGATCATTGTTCTTTAATAGTCATCAGTTCATTTATATGTAGAATTGCAACTTGTTTTGTTTATTTGCATTCTATAGCTGGCAGCCTGTTATCGACTACATTGATAGTAAATTTGAGGACTACCTAAATGCAGAATCTCGAGTGAACAGACGCCAGATGCCTGATAATAGGGTGCAGTGTTGTTTATACTTCATTGCTCCTTCAGGACATGG